AATGTTGTAGTAATAGTAATATGATAGTATTTTAGCGCAGAACTTCTTTTTGCGTAGGCGGCCTTCGGCCGCACTTAGGGATTATAACCCTCACTACGTAGAATTCTCTTCTGTGTTGCCAAAGAAAGGCTGACTGGGTTATATCATATTTTCTTTTGTCTCTCATCCTTCTTGTATTTTTAGCAGTTTGACAGCTAAACGCCGCCATTTAATTTGCATATGCAACCAAAGGCAGACGCGTGGTTTTGAAGGTGTTTTTATTTAATAAATTGTGATTGATAGGTTAAAATTAAAGTAATAAAGAAAGTTGTAACAAGTCGAATAAAGTTTAAAGTGAAGGGGAATATAAAAATGCATTGGTGAAGTGGCTGCTTTAAGGAAAATAGGAGTGATAAATGTACGCTAATTTCCGAATTTTACAAAAAAGGGCATATTTCAAACCCAATTTGTAAATAAATTAGTGACCAAAAATTACAATAGTGGATGTTAAAATAATGGGTAGACCCTTGGCTACAAGTGTGTGCAATTTTTTTTTGGATCTGGTCACCCGTTTGGACGCAATACCCCGAAATAGGTGGGCCACTTACTAAACAGTACCCTCCCGCGGGTGACCAAAATAGCCCAGAAATTATTCCCGTACTCAACACAATGGGTAATACGAGAGCGAAAATTGGAACGTATTGGATCGTGTCTTCTTCCTGCCCGAAACAGCCCAGACTTTTCCTCCGGGTAAAAATGCATAAAGTGTCAAAGTGGATGTCAGCTGTTTTGTGTTTACATGATGCCTGCATTTACTTGGTGCTTTAAAGGTATAGTTGATGTGTTTTCAATCTTTATATACTTAAATCAAATTTGTGAAACAAAAATTCAATTTCCAAGAGTTTGCATTTAAGTGACAAAAACAAAAACAACGCGAATTGGCTGTTTCTCAAATTCTGAGCACGAAATGTGGTATTTTGCGTTCCCGTACTTCTGGATTATGTTCCATTTTTGAGAGCAAACTTTTCGCTTATTCTCTATTTACCGGATTGTTAGGGAAAGAACCTCTTATGTAAGGTGTCGTGCGGGAACAGCTTCCTGTAAAATCCTGTAAATTCCTGCTATTCGTACTGCTGCTGGAACGCAACTTAGAGTTCCAACAAGACTACAACCCTGCCACTTCGCTAGTTGCTACAAACAAACCCACACAGATATAATGTAAAACGTCAATTACCTTTCTTATCAGAAACAATGGAATGACCACGCATGCTCAGAAAAAGGCTAGTTAAGATAGGAGCACGGGGAAGGCCTTTACGCGCTCTTTACAAAAATAAAGTATACATATGCTTCGAAAACGATATTTATAAAGTGTAGAAACTACACCAATTGGACAACTTGTGACCACTACCGAGAAAAGCACAATAACTTTATTTTTTTTATTTTTACCTCAACTCAGGAGCTCCAAAAGAAAAAATTAAATGAGCAAGGTCTACATGCATTTTTAGAAGCAGTATCGTCACCCGAAGAATATAGAAGTCAAATTATTCAAGCATTTACACCATGTTGATTCATATAAAGACCAGGTTAGCGTAAACAAATGATGAAAATCATACCATTTAACCGTGTAATTCAAAAATGTTCCATCTGCCAACACCAGCAGGCAAGACGATCCCATAACGAATTAGCACATCTCGTGAATTTTTTAATGGCCGCTGCCGCCACCTTCGTCACCAAGTCTTAAATCTTGTAATTTCACTTTCAGAAATCTAATGGGTTTCTAACTTTAACAACTATACGTACTTTGCATTTACATTTCCACTCAAGTCTATTTACACAAAATCTCCGCTCTACACTTTAGAACTTGGTAGCTTTTTTATTAGTTATGCTTTTAATCAAATTTTATAGGAATAAAGTTAAGGTTCAGACTTTTCTACCAAGAATATTTCTTCCCGAACTCATTATCGAATGTTAAGTTTTGCGAACCCTGCCATATGTTTGAAATGTTTGTTCTGTCCTATGTTGTCAGAGGTTAAATCACTTACGGGGGGCCACACGTGCATGTAATTATACAAATCCAAAAAAATTCCATGTACAAAATATATTTGCGTGCAATGGCAAAACTCGCCGCTGTAGCTATTGTCTTGTTTATCAGTTATCACGTTTAGGGGAACAAGTGCAGAATACGGCCCGTTAAGGTAGAACAAAGCGAAAAATTGGGCGTGGTCCGCCCTTTTTCCTGATTTTACTGGTATAAAAATTGGTGCAAACTTATATTTTCAGTGATATGGAGGGATGAAGGGGGAATTTTCGAAAATTTCTATATGTCAAAAAATTCCTAACCGAATTTAAAAAAATTAGTATCGTTGCAAAGGTAAATGAAATCCCTTTTTTTAATATGCATATTAATATACTTTATGTGGATAAATTTCGAGAAAAATCATTTAATAGAAAAAAATATATTTTTTTTGAAAAAAAATACATATTTACTAAATAAAGGTGTAGATAACTACTCACAACGCTATAATAGTTCAAAAGAACATTAAAATACCTTTAATTTGGTATATAATTGTTACACAAACTCTTTAACCCTCAGGCAGTAGAATTCTCCTTTTTGTGCTGCCAAAGAAGGGGGGCTGAACACCTTTTGCAGAGAACACCTTTCTGCGTAGGCGGCCTACGGCCGCACTTAGGGATTATAACCCTCAGGCAGTAGAATTCTCCTTTCTGTGTTGCCAACGAAGGGGGGGGGGGCTGAACACCTTTTGCAGAGAACACCTTTCTGCGTAGGCGGCCTTCGGCCGCANGGATTATAGCCATCAGGCAGTAGAATTCTCCTTTCTGTATTACCGAAGAAAACAGCCGTCAACGTATGGTCATTTCTCCCTTCATGAACACCAGTAAAACAAAATTACTCACGGTATTTAGATCTAACTATGTATAAAATTAGGAAAAATTAAGGCGGATCACGCCCATTTTTTCTTTTTGTTCTAGCTTAACGGGCCGTATTCTGCACTAGTTTGGTAGTACTGATTGTAAGCTGTCAAACCAAGCTTCCGTTTTACCACGATTAAATCGCCTTTATCAACATAAAATGTGCATATTTTTTCATCTGGTTTAATCCGCTAAATTGTTATGCAGTTTCGACCGCTTTTAATCGCTAACATTCTCGTCCTTCGTGCCGGATCTCGAAGTCGTGTTATTTTTCTTGCAAACCGCGCTATTTACGCTATTTCTGTAAATTTATAATAGGTTTGTTCGTCGAGCAAAAAATTTGTACGAATTTGTACGAATTATCACGATTTTTGCCCAAATCGCGTTCGTGCAGACCAAAAAATTATCCAACACTCAAAAATTGTGAGAGCAAAGTGACAGTTCTCTTGGAGAGAAGTTGCAAATTCTTGCTGGAAAAAATTTTGCCAGCAAGAATTTGCAAACACGAAAAACATGTGGTTGTGGCGCATGGTTGCATTTTTGTCTACAATAATTTGAATAAATTAGTTCGTTAAATTTAAAAATTTATAAACACGAGCGATTTTTTTATGAAAAAAGGAAGTAAATAATTGTTGATATAATTAATTTAGTTAATTCCAATGATTTGAACTTAATTCGGCTGAAAAAAATGGTATTCGCAATCGGAATGCAATTGCAACCAGAGTCGATTTAAGAAACCCGACAGCTAGTACGATGAAGAAATTGAAATGTATGTTAAAGAAAGTCAGAACAACAAGAAATATACATGTATATCCTGTTTTTGGCCATCCGAAAGAATTTTAAAAATTCTATAAAAATTTTTTATGTTTGAAATGCAACCGTGGACGCCAGCTGGCAGCGAAACTTGCAAATTCCTGCAAATTTGCGTTCGTGCAGAAATTTGCAAGTTTCTCAACTGAGAGAGAATTTGAGAGAATTTTTTCTTACTCTCTGATATTTTGAGTGTTGGATAATTCTTGCTGGATTTTCGACGAACAAACCTATTTACATACATTCGCGTTGCACTTACATGCAAAATTCTCGATTCCGCTTTAACTCCATTAAGCGACATTTGCGGTCGAGTAAAGCAGATGTGCTTTCGGTGGACGTTGAAGTGCTCTCCACGCATCTACAATTATTGGAAGAGCAGTGGGTTCGTTTTTGCGAAGCTCAACAAGAAGTGGAGCTGGCATGTGGCGACGAGAACACTCCTATTGAAGAACAATCGCGCATACAATGCGAGGAGTGGTATATAACTGCAAAGGCCATCTTTAAACGTCTTATGTCATCGCTCATACAACCACCAACACATTATTCTGCGCTGCCAAAGCTGCAGTTGCCCTCGTTTTGTGGTGATCCTACGGAATGGTTGTCCTTCCACGATTCATTTTGTTCGCTGGTTAACGCGAACGCAACCTTGTCGGACGGGCAAAAACTGCCGTATTTGCGTAAGTGCTTGAAAGATGAAGCACTTAATTTGGTGAGTACTTTTTCAGTGTGTGACAGTAATTATCGCTAGGCCTGGGACTTTTTGACCTCAAGATACAAGGTCATACGAGTCATGGTGGACAGTCACATACGGGCTCTGTCATCGATCGAAAAAGCGAGCAAAGACTCCGCTAAGGCAATCAAGCTCGTGCTTAATGCTACATTGCAGCATGTCGGTGCGCTACACGCGCTTGGTCGACCAACCGAGTTCTGCGATGACTGCCTTATCCACCTAACTGTATCCAAATTGTCATACGAAACCCTCAAACAATGGGAATTGTCGCTTGTGGCTGACGAGTTACCGTCGTTTAACGCTCTTCGTGAATTTCTAGAAATTCGTGCACGCTCTTTGGAGATGCTACCGCTTACGCCTGCCACACAACATGTAGCCAAGTAGAAGCATGTGACGTCGGCAAGGCGTCTGCTTGCGCTTATTGCAGCGGTGACCACAAAATATACGTTTGCTCAAAGTTTAGCCGACTCGACGCAAATACTAAACTTTCTGCCATCAAATCTCAAGGTGCTTGCCTAAACTGTCTTAGCAAAGGGCACATCCTTGCGAAATGTCGCTGTTCATCATTGTGCCGCATCTGTCGACAACGCCATCACACGCTGTGGCACGCAAGTTTCAACAACCAACAGGAATCAACCGCTACAAACGCAACAAGCCAGCACGTTAGTGTCACGTCACGTTACGCTGATGCTGATCGTGTCACTTTGTTGGCAACCGCCGCGGTCTTAGTACAAGATGACGCTGGTCGTTGGCAACCAGCTCGTGCTCTTCTCGATAACGGCTCACTCGCCTCATTCATAACTGACGCCTGCGCTCAACGACTTCGACTTCCCAGACGATCATCATCCGCTTACGTCACAGGTATAGGGGCTACCCAAGGTGGCCGTACCAAGGGAGAAGTAACCCTATGCATATAAGCGCGATCATTAGATGCAAACTTCCTAGTGAGTACATTCGTATTACCCAAAATTACCAATGATCTTCCATCCACCGCAGTACCGACACCACCGTGGCCGCATGTTCTCGATTTATCGCTGGCTGACCCAAGTTTCGCAGTTTATATCCTTATAGGCATGGACGAAGTGGACAAAATCCTACTAAATGGGTTAAGAAAGGGTCAACATGGCACTCCAATGGCGCAAAACACTGTGTTCGGTTGGGTATTGCTCGGGAACGCGACCAATTTACAAAGGCAGCCCAAATCTATAACCACCTTACACTGTGACACGCAACTAACCGAGCGGGTCAACAAGTTCTGGGAACTCGAAGGGTTACGTCCGAGAAAGCATTACACTCCCGAAGAACTCACCTGTGAACAACTTTTAGACGACACTACCGAGCGAGCTAACGATGGTCGATACATCGTGCGCTTACCACTGAAGAAATCCGTACCGATATGTGAATCTAGAAGTATTGCGGTCCGAGCATTGCTCCGAATGGAGAAGAGGTTTGCTACTGACAAACAACTCTATCGAGATTATTGTAAGTTCATGGAAGAACTTGTTGACTTAGGCCATATGGAGCTAGCTGGTGCCGTTACAGACGACGCGTACTACATGCCGCATCATGCCGTGGTAAAACATTCAAGTGCCACGACCAAGCTCAGAGTAGCATTCAACGCGTCCATGAAGAAGACGTCATCCGGAAACTCGCTCAACGATGCTCTGATGGTAGGGCCGCAGCTAGAACGAGACCTATTCTCCATACTAGTTCGTTTCCGCACGCATCGCTATGGGCTGATCGCGGACATCGAGAAAATGTAGCGCCAGGTTTACTTAGCAAAACAAGACGCTGACTATCAACGTATAGTATGGCGTGAGAACTCATCACAACCCATTCGCAATTATCGCCTTCTAAGAGTAACGTATGGAGTGGCGTCGGCATCGCATCTTGCTGTGAAATCGTTACATCGCGCTGCGCTGGATGTAGGCGATGCATACAAAGGGGTCGCTGGTGTCTTTACAAGGGATTTCTACATGGATGATTTGCTAACGGGGTCGGACTCCATGCATGGCTTAATCACGCTCCAGAAAGATGTCGCCTTCGTATTGTCTCGGAGCGGTTTTGAATTGCGAAAATGGGCCACGAACTGTCAGCCGTTACGAGAACGAATACCGCACGTTTCCAAGCAAGTTTTGCATCTTTTAGCTGAAGGAAATAAGATCCGCACTCTGGGCTCCGTTTGGCACACCGATAAAGATTTGCTTTCTATTGCTGTCAATCTACAAGAATTGCCTGACCAGATCACAAAACGCGCGTTTCTATCCGACTCAAGCAAGACATTCGATCTGCTTGGATAAGCCGCGCCCTGTACAATTCGCTAGACACGTCGCGTCGGAACATAATCCTGCTGATTGCGCATCGAGGGGCATCACGCCTTCCCAGTTGCTCGCGCATCCTCTATGGTGGCATGGACCGCCTTGGGGCGAGCTCACAGCGAACCTTGGCTTTATCTCTCAATACAGCTCAACACCAACCTCAAATTGAAGTCGTACAAGATGGTGTATCTAACGCAGACCAGTGGCGAATGGGATCTTTTGACCAGATACCACTCGTTCAACATACTCAAGCGAGTAACCGCTTACGTAATCCCCTTCGTAAAAAACTTACGAATTGCCGCCTCTCGCTCTAACGCAGAGGAACGAAGACTGGGTTCACTAACCTGCGCAGAAATTCAAGAAGCCGAATTAGTTTTGGTAAAGTATGTCCAATCTAACGCCTTCGGGTAAGAAGTTTCCAATTGCAGATCAAGGAAGCCGGTACTCGTTCGGAGCAGTCTCATACATTTGCAGCCGTTTCTGACCGTCCTACGTGTAGGAGGTCGCATCGAAAACGCTACACTTTCCAACGATGCTAAGCATCTAATAATACTGCCAAAGGGGTCCTCGTTGGCAAGGATAATCGCTGCCGAAGCGCATATCACAACGCTACATGTTGGGCCTCAAATAATGCAGGCTACGCTTCAACGTCGATTTGGGGTCCCCGGTGTTCGAAGCCTCGTTCGAGGTATATATCGCAAATGTGTTCGCTGCAAACGTCTCAACCACAAGCCGTTGCAACAGCTCATGTCCCAACTTCCGCTCACCCGTGTAACTTGTACACGGTGTTTTTTCGATTTTGCTGGGCCTTATGCTTTGAAATTCTCCCACGGAAGAGGTGCGAAGTCTACGAAGGCATACATTTGTTCGTTTATATGTATGAGTACAGGCGCAATGCACCTGGAACTAGCAGGTGACCTTTCTTCAGTTGCGTTCATCGCTGCCTTCAAACGTTTCACCAACCGACGGGGGTACTGTCAGCATATCTACTCTGACAACTCGTTGGTGCTGAAAGGGAATTACGCATCGCATACGAACGCTGCATCAGTGACGCTAAGCTGTCTTAGTATTTCACTGATACGCATACTACTTGGCACTTTAATCCACCAAACGCCCCTCACATGGGCGGTTATTGGGAGGTTGGCATAAAGCGCGTCAAGTATCACTTAAAGCGTGCGCTGAATTCGACACTTCTGGCGTATGAAGAATTCGCAACTGTGCTAACTGAGGTCGAGGCTTGTGTGAACTCTCGTCCTATCTGCAGGATATCCACAAATATTAGCGATTTGGAAGTTTTGACTCCCGGTCATTTTTTAGGTGGCGAACCATTGAAGACGCTCCCCGATCCCGATGGGGAAATGTTCAAGGGTTCTCTTTTCCAACGATGGCAACTCGTCACGTCAGAAAGACAACACTTCTGGAAGCGCTGGCGTGATGAATATCTTGTAAACCTTCAGCAAAGAACAAAATGGTTCCGCTCAACGCCAAATTTGCAGAAGGACGATGTGGTTGTCATACACGATAACAACGCCCCACCTACCAAATGGAAACTTGGGCGTGTACTTGATAGCCATCCCGGCTCCGACGATCGCGTGCGTGTTGTCAGCTTAAAGACCGCAGAAGGTGAACTTGTGAGACTCATTTCGAACCTAACGCTGCTGCCGAAAAAAATTGATATCTTTACTACGTGAATTTCCACTCAATGTAAACTGTTCAAGGCGGCCGGTATGTTCGCGCCTAACTGGCAACCCTATTGTAATGACCTGGTGGTTAGGGAGTACTCATTATAGTGTAATAAAACGACAAGAAATTTGTTGTCGTACAGTCGAGCGCTTATGGAATATTGTTCTTTATTTATTAATTCTTTCCTAATTTATACAAATTTAAACTTATTTAATTCTATGTTTCCTTATTTACTATAATACATATTTATTATACTTCTTACATACTAGTCTTACAAACACATGTATGTATGTGCAGCCAGACACTTATGCACATACAAATGCACATTGGCTTAGCTTAGCAAAATATGCTTATGGGAGAATGCAGTGTAAGCAGAAATCAAGCATTCCATAATAATTCGTGTGAACCACAATTTGTTTAATGCACTTTTGGCGCGTGTGGAACTTTGTTATGTAGATATGCATTTCTGATACACTACACCTCCTCTCTTTAAAAGAATGCTTATACATTTGTGAGGTCAATGTATGAGCATTCTATTTCAATTAAAATTTATGACATAACTACAAATTACTTGAGTTTCTTTTAATTACTATGTGTGTCTTTTTTTCATTTATTTGTTTATTTATTCATGCGGTATATTTTTATGACATAATTAAATGTAAAATCGGTTAGATTTTTATTTTAGTATGAATGTACATTCTTGTTGAAGCTATTTATTTATTCGTGCAGTATATTTTTGTGAAGTGATTAAATGGAAAATTAATTCTAAGTTTTGTGTTTACGCTAACAAACTGTAATGTCCGTATTCTAACAATTTAAGCCTATTTTTATGTATTATGATTTTCTAATTTTTATTACTTCAAGTATAATTGTTTTTCTTATCTATATTTTCTACTCTATAGGGCCCTTTGTATTTACTATCTAATTTATGACCTGTTTCGTCTTTAACTAGTACTAAATCTCCTACATTTTTTTCCTTACTTAGAGTACTTCTATCATAATTAATTTTTTGTCTTTGCTTAGCTTCTTGCACTAATCTTTTAGCTCTTTGCTGTGCTATTTGTAACCTGTATTTTATTTCTTTGTCGTAGGCCTCATAATTGTATACTGGGCTAACTATGTTTTCTTGTAATGGCTGGTTTTCATCAAGGAATATTCGCTGACTACATAACTGCCAGCGATGTCATTCTTCCAGTGTTTTCATCACATGCCATAAACTGCCATGATACCGATTGAAAATGATTGACAACAGTTTTTGGAGTCAGTCGACTGACATGCCGTTTCCACTGCACATGGCAAAAATATTTTGTGAGAAGACCCTGGCCAGCTGTTTGTCAGTTTGAAGTTTGAATAAAATAGATCGAAAGCAAATAAATAAAATGATTAAAAGGAAAATCGCAGTGGCCGGTGCGGCATTGTGTTTAACAATAACGCAAAAGGTGGTGGATACGACCGGGTTTGACCCTGAGAAAAACAAGTGGGTTTTACAGCACACTTCGTTTGAAACTGCGGGAACAAGATCCCTTCTGGTTTCACAACTTTTTGCGGATGAACGTGGAGGATTTCAATTTTTTGGCAAATCATTTGACTCAGCACATTGGAAAGAAAGATTCTCGGTTAAGGGAATCCATCTCAGTTGGAGAAAGATTGGCGGTGACGCTGCGATACTTAGCGACTGGTGATAGTTTTGGAAGTTTGATGTCTGTGTTTCTTTTGGGGAAAACAACAATTTGCAATATAATACGCGAAACCTGCGAGGCAATTTTCCGAACCCTAAAAGATGATTTCTTAAAAGTATGTAGAGTTTTGTGTTTGCATTTACGATCTGAACAGAAAGTGTTATATATTTTTTGTTTTGTTCAGATGCGCTTTGTGTAACCAATGTCACACATACATGCATAACATCGATGAGGTGCTCCGAAATATGAACTTAACAATAGAGAAAAATAGTCAAAATATCCAAGAGTGTAATGATGACTTCCAGGAGTCGCAAAAAATGCAAGTGAAAGAGCTTAAACTTCTCTTGCAATCAATAGAGAAAAAATTTGGGGAACGCATTGATGCAATGCAAAGAGTACAAAAAACCTGTGAGGCGAGTATTCTCGAAGTGAACCAAATTAAGTCAATAGCTGACGGCGTAAAAAAGCAAAGCCATGATCTTTGCGAAGCCATAGTGCGCAATGAAAATGAGAACAAAAAAATTTGTGAAGAGATAAAGAAATCGGTGACTGCTGACGCGTTAGCAGGTCAGCGGGCGAAAGCCACTTACGCGAATCTCTTTAAAGGTAACACTGCGAAAGATAATAGGCTGCCGAAAGTAAATAAAGAGAAGCCATTAGTTCTACAACCAAAAGAGAAGCAGGAAGAGGGAAAAACAATAGAAGATTTGAACAAAAATGTTGACCCCTCGAGCTTGAAAATTAATAGTGTACAGGGCAACAATGATAGAATACAAGATTGCGCCAATGAGAGAGGATTTTTGAGCGTAATTTTTGCGTGACGTCATCTTGGTGCAATTGCGAGAGAGAAATGCCAAAACGCATATAAAAATATGTAAACAATGCAGAAAAATGTGTTAATTTTAATATTACATGGCCCAATTTTCAATAAATATTCAGGAATCAATAAATATACAAAGATTGATTAATTAGGAACACGTAGCAATAATTTTGGATATGTAGCCCTTTAGATAATGACGATTTTTAGCACATGAATAAATGGATTTATTAACCGTGTTTGCAAAGTGTGCAGCAATATGAATTTTTGGACTTACCATTTTAAAAAGCCATGCAGAGTGCATATTTATATTTGTGGACGGTAGCCAACCACCATAAACTCCACAGCTGTTGACTCCACAGCTTTTATTTGATGACTTTTGTACCATTTCCGAGAGGATGCATGCTTTTTTGGAAGCAAATATTCTATGTCAGTAAAACATAATTTAAGCTGAACTTTAAATGTATAATAGTTTGGGCACTGCTTCGTATTAGGTACGTAACAGCGCGGTAAGATACCGCTTGAATTAGCGCCTGGCGACCTTATCCACTGGTGCATTACCTCATACCAGCACTAAAAGAATCAGGTACTAACAAAAATAAGTAGGTAGTGAAGTTCATGTATCTATTTACTGTAGAAACTGCTTTTGTATGTATGTCATTGCCAGCAAACTAAACCAGCAACTGTCTACATTCACCATGGAAATATACCTACTACAATTCAGCTCATATCTCACATAGCAAAAAGCTCGATTTGGTGTTTAATGCATATTATCGCCGGCAGAACTGCTTCCATTTTTTCGG